TGAAGAAAGAAGAGGAAGAAGAAGAAGAAGAAGAAGAAGAAGAAGAAGAAGAAGAAGAAGAAGAAGAAGAAGAAGAAGAAGAAGAAGAAGAAGAAGAAGAAGACGACGACGACGACGACGACAACAACAACAACAGGCTTCTACATTGCTCAAAAGAAAACACACTTTCCTTTGCAGCCAACAGTTATGCTGATCATAGGAATCCTTCTAGCTGTCTTAATCTGGCTTTTTATTCTTGGTTATCCTGCTCCTGTTCTCACCTGGGCTCTTATTGACGTTCAAGGGCTGAACACATCACTTTCCAAATGTGCCACCAATAACAACCTAAGTTTGTAGACCAAAATTAGAGAAAAAGGAGGGCAGCAAGGAAAGCCAACATTTTGGCCCTAGCCTTCTAAGGTCAATTAAGACTCAGGAAATAGGAGAACCCGTACTGTAACACACGAAACTCAGGTGTGTCACAAATTTTCTGATTAAGGAGATTATGGGGCCACAGAGGAAAGTGACTGATGATGTAGACTGTGCCTGAGGAGATTCACACGGAGAGAAAACATTCTCTCAGGCTTTCACAGAGAGCAAATTGGTCAAGCAATGGCCATGACTCACCCACATGGCTGACACTGACAAAGGATCTACAAACTGTGGTACAGGGTTTCAGGGTATATCCTGAGGGAATTTGAATGACCTTGTCAGATACAAAATTTGCACTTTTTTTCTTAAATAGGTCTTGCTTTATCTTGCTCTTAACCATCCAGCAGAAAAGTATACAAACGAGGTATAAAAGGTAAAGCCAAATTAATACGATAAGCTGTAAAAACCTCAAGTCAACAACTTCTGACATTGCCAGTCCTACGGATAACTGACTAGTATTATAGACTACTGGACTACATTGTATTATTTGCTGAATTCATGCACCTACATATTTAAATGGCAAAGGAATACTCATTTCTGACAAAACTAAACAAAAAGGGGATACAAATGAAGGACTATTTTGTATCTGTATATACAATATTGTTAGGATAGATACACAGCTACTTTCTCTTAATTCAATGAGAAGAAAGATTTACACTAATAGTGTTTGAACAGGACATCAAGTCTGCATCTTGTACTATGAATAAGCACTATGAAAACAACAATATCCAAAGTATAATTATTGAAGCTGTCCTGTTAATCGGTTTTGAAACTATCCCATTGCTATTTGTTTCTCCATAAAAATTATATTTAAAAAAGAATGATACCTATTTTGCTAGAGAACACTCCCAGCAATCCCCTTAGTTGTGATCAGGGATTTGCCAATATGGTAAATTGACGACTGGTGGTCAACTTGTTAAACTCAGCTAAAGTAAACTAGTATCACTCTGGGTGTAGAAGACCCATGTGTGGATTGTTGCCAATTGCATAAGAAGAGAGCTGGAGAAGAAATGAATCTGTCTGGGTGCAGTTTAGATGCTGTTGGAGGCTGTATGGAGTGGTAGGGAGCTATTGTGGGGCTGTTGATTCTATTGGAGGACCATGGCCTATTGGCTTTCCTGATGAATTTCGCTGTTCTCAGCATGGAAGAAGCTTGTGACATTGTTGTCCCTGAGAATAGCTACAGTTCACTCTGTTGAAGCTCAGGTCGTCACCTTGAGCATTATTTTCTGGCTCCAGAACAGATAATGATATACTGTTCACTGTTCTAGACAAACATGTCACATTGGCTTTCCTCACTGTCAGAGGAGCTAGGAATTCACTGTTGCTGAGGATGCTTGTAGTACTTTTCCAGGATTTCTGGTCCTTACTTTTAGTGTTAAATCCAGACTCCAGTTTGGATCTGCACTGGGAATGCCCAAGGTGAGTGGTGAAAGCTAGAACATGGGTGCCATCTAGATAAAGGTTCTGTGCTAGCAAGATGTGGAATCTGAACTGGAGCTAGGAAGCAACACTCAAAGTAAAGACCAGTGCTCCCTAAAATGTAGCATACCCATAATCAGTGACAACTATAAAGAGTCCTTTCCATATTCATCATGGTCCAAGAAGTATATATTTGTAATCCCATGGAAAAGTTATTGGAATTCCAGTGAGTTAATTCCAGTCTACTATTTCCAATGCAGCTCACAGTATAAGAGAAGCACAATAATATATCCAAAATGCTGGGGAGTCAAAAAGTTATTGTGTCTGGTCACAGTAATGGCTATCCAAAGCAAAGGCCTTTAGTTTTTCAGTAAAATTATTGAAGAAAAAAAAATCAAAGGCCTTTACCCAGGACCGAACCCAGACTTTATTCATTTGTGAACAAAAGAATGGCTTCAGGATGGGTGTCTATGAGAATGGCAGGAATTATGTCAATGCCATAATTTGGAGTAGATAGAAGGCCTATAATTACCTCTGTAATATACAGAGAGGAGGATATGCAGAAAGAGTAATCTGCATTACACAGAGATAATATCAAATGTTCTGAGGTCAGTGCTTCAGCTCTGATGTGTAATCTTTCAAGCCCCAGGAAGCCAGTTTCTATCTCAAGACTACATTTCATCCAACAGAGTGGAACATTGGCTCTTCATCTCATCTCATTCTGGCTCACACAACACAACAGCAAGTGGGGGCTTCTGGGGATTCATGCTTCCCATCTTCAAAACCTAGCATCAGCACCTCTGCTAGACTGATATGCGTTGCTTAAACTCAATTGAAGGGATAAGGAAAAACTCCTAGCTAACTCTGTACATGTCAATATGTGAAAGTAGAGCCAGGTCAGCCAAAATGGAGACAATTGCTCCTTTTTCAAGGAGGGTCACCCAGGTGGCCCTCAAGCAAAACAAGATTCCAAGCTCATTCAATGATGAGAACAGCCAAGTCTGTATCAGGAAAGCCAGTGCAGTAAGCTTCTCCAGGACAGTGAGCAGTACACTACCTTCCCCTGTGGAGCCAGGAAGTAATGATCAACGTGAGAATCAGAGCTCCCCAAAACAAACAGTAGCCATTCTCAGCAACAAGTTCCCCAGCTCATTTGATGATGACAGCAGCCAAATTCATCAGGAAATCTAGAATGACAAGCTCTTCAGGAGAACCAGCAGCCTAGAAGAAGCAACAACTCTGCAATCACTCCTATTCTCAACCACATTCCCCTTTATTTTATTAGTGATGATTCTTAGGTAGAACACCACAGTCAGCAGCATGCTACTTCCTTTCAGCTGGATGTTAAAAGTTGACAGTTATCAACCCACCACATCATTCTTATAACAGATCTATAGTATAGTAGAAGGCATCAGTCACTCAGGTAGGTGATCAGAGTAATTGATACCTTTGCAAGTTTATTTAAGACTGACACCTAAGTGAGTTTTATTAGGCTTTTGTGTGTTTATGGATTTAGTTAATTATAGGGGCAAAATTCTTGAGATACAGAACTTAAGAAAAATAGGTTTGGGCACAGTGGGCCAGCCACCAAGACTGGGTGTGGCATTGCACACCTGTAATCCCAGTGATGGGGAGGCTGAACAGAAGGATCACTAACAGTCTGAGCTGAGAGTGAGACACTGTACCAAATAAATACATAAATAATAAAAAGATATTAATTTGTGAGGAGAGAACTACAGGGCATGAGAAGCATATAGTGTGAAGTCCTTATGTTTACCTGCTCCACCACAAAGAAATGGTTTGGTAGATGAGAAATGTGGATCCATTTCAGCAATGATTCTGACTTTCCCACTTGACAATGCTTACTTTCAGAAACCAGGGTGTTTTATTGTTGTTGTTGTTGTTTTTATTTCTTCTTTTGATTTTGTTTTCTTTTTTTGGGGGGGGGTATTTTAGGGAAGGTTCTACAGGGTATTCAGGGTCTCACTACTAGATCAGACTCATAGTGATCCGCCTATTTACAGGCCCCCAAGAGCTGGGATTGCATGTGCATGCCACTAGGCCTGGTCTCATCATCTCAGCATGCCTCCGGTGCGGGTCCGGCAAGACAGACCAGAGATTGAACCCCTGGCCCCTGCGCCTACTTGCAGGTGCTTTAACCCACTGAGCTATTTGGCAGGCCCTACTTGTTTTGGTTTTGCATTTCAGTTTGTTTGTTTTGACCCTAGATGAGTAGCAAACTTTTGTGGGAGAGTTGAAGTGCTTGCTTTTCTTTCATCTTTACTATTTGGTACAATATTGCTGTTATTTCAGTCTAACTTCTTTTGCTTCTTTTAAAAGGCACATATTCATTTTCTTAGCTGAAAATTAATAGATGGAAGGAGACAGTGTAAAATATCTTCAAAGCAAAGCCTATTGCCTTGTTCCCAACTACTGTTCTCTCATACACCCATTTCTCCTTCTATTCCATTATGTGCTGACCTAGCCTGTGCTCAGTGTATTTTCTGACATAACGAGATTTATTCTGCACTACAATATTGACCCTGAAACCTATTCTTATTTTATTTTTATTTTTCTTGTGTCTTCTTTTCATTTATTACCCTTTAAAAAACATTTACTCGAGAGACAGTGTGGTAATAATTGGAATGTCATGACAAGAAGTATGTATTTAGAAGACCAGAATGACAGGCATTACAAGCGTGACCCTTCTATTATACATTGCTGTGTTTAGTGCAGTTGCTCAGTTCACAGGTATCAGCATATATAGTTAGGCAGGGTAAGAATCCTAGGAATTAACTGCTAGTTTCAAAAACCTGCCAATGTTACTCAGGATCATTGCCTTGCCCATCTTGTGCATATAAATGTATGGCTTTGCCTCTGTCCAGTTTCCCAGCTTTTTTCCTTGCCCTCTCCTCGCGGTAGAGTGTCTCACGCAGCATGTCTGGGTTTGGGTCTGGAGACGTCCCGCAGGCGCAGGGAAGCAGGAAGCTCTCCCACACACTCACCGGACATGGGTTGGGCTCCCTCTTTTCTTTTTAGTAAGAAAATCTACTTTTGTTCTCTGTTTTATGAAAATTAAGCAAAATTTCATAAACAAATAAAGAATGACAATAGGTAACAATGGTTAATACAGTGCTATTCACAACAACAAAAGTGAAAGGCTTAACTTTGAAACAGTATTGATGGACTCAAAAATAATGTAGACCCTCAATTGAAACAGTGGAGTACAATTATTAAAATGTCACGTCTATAATTATTGGCCTATGATGACATCCACCATACACTGGCCAATGAAAAGATGATGTAAGAACATGTTTCTATTTTATCTTACAATGTAGTTATGTATGTGTAACGTTTTTTACATTAGACCCTGGAACCTTCTGAACACATTTGTGACCTATTTTCTGAAAGAGTCCACTGAGTCCTATAAGAAAACAGGGGCAAATCTGAGACCCAGGAGTGGAATCTTTCCTCAGGCGAGATAAGATTAACATTTTGGAAGACAGCCTAGTTCACAAGTCTCCGCATTACAATCTTTCACTTGGGCTCCTCTCTGGCAGGTACAGGTTTCCCTCCTTGCCCTTGGCAGGCAGGGAGGAAATAGAGCGGGCGTCAATCAATGAAGAAGGAGAGAGCTGTATAAATTGTCCAATCGGAGGAGGCAAAGTGGGAGGGTTCTTCCTGTGTCATGGCTGCTTCCACGGCGTACCCTGCTGAGAGCACCCTGGCTGGGTAGGCCGCCTTCGGTGACTTCTAGTAGCTGCAGTCTGCATAGGAAGGACCCCAGGAGACCTCCAAGCTATGCAATGGTGACGTTGTGGGACGGGAGCCCTGAAACGGGGTGGAGTCTGGGTGAGGTCCCGTTAGAGTTGGTCCGAACTATGCTGGATGGAGTCCCCAGTTAGCTCCTGATTCTGACGTCGTCCCGAATGGGCAGTGAGTCATTCTAAGTGCCCTTTGCCTCTTAGGGCTGGGCCAGTCTTCGGTCCTCAGAACCTTCTCCCCACTGTTATACCGCTGCCTGGAATGCCGTCCTGAGAAATCCACCGCTGCCTTTGCGTCTCGGCCATTCTGACAAGAGCAGGAGCCTTGGGGAGACCCAGACTCAGGTCTGGGCTAGGGCTGGGCGCAGCAACGGTGAACTACGAACCTGGTTGCGTTTTTGTCAGCAGCAGATCTGGAGGATCTGAAGTTTATAAATACCCGTGCTGCAGGGTCTCACACTCGCAACTCCTCTCTTCAGATTTCTGCTTTTTAATATTCATAGAGAGCTCCTAAATTTGCAAGATATCCCTGCATTTCCAAACTCATGTTAGGCGTTAGAAAAGGTCCTGAGGATTCTAAGAAGTGTGGTGGTGTTCATCGGTGGAGCCCTTGCCCAACACCTAGTAAACTTCTAACTTCCCTCCAGAGTTCAGCGAAACAAATTTAATGATTTAAGTGACACCTCCCCGCTCACAATTAAGCTATTAAAGTGAGGCCTGTCTCAGAGTTTAGAATGCGCAAAAAATGAAGGGAATGTTAAAAGTCTTAGCGAGGACAGGAGAGAGTGGACCTGCCGAGGACACCTTCCAGAAGGGGCTGCCTATTAAACCCACTGGAGAGACACCTTGAGTTGGGACAGTTGCATGGACATATATATGTGGTGTGGGTGTGAGTGGAAAGGGACATGGATGTCATCTATTAATGGCTATAGATCTTGGCCTGTTTGTAAATATTGCTTAAGTACAGCAACACTGCCTGAGTTAGACATTCAAAGGAGTGCCAGAGGAAGGGAGAGGACCAGATTATAAGTTGTACAGCGTATGGGTGGCTAAGCTTAAAGGTTTTTCCTTAGGCTGGATCAAAGAAGAATGGGAAAGAGGTGGAAGAGAAGGGAATGATAAAAGGTGCCTTCAACACAGATCTTCTCTGAAACTCAGATTGTTCTTAGAGTAAGCATGAAGAAAGAGTTGTGTGCTTGCCTGTTCTGAATTAGGCAAAAAAAAAAAAAAAAAAAGGAAAGGAATTTAGTAATAGATAAATAGGTCTTCTCCCACTGATAGTTTCACCTATTCATTTTGAAGCAAAATCTGAAATTAGGAAACTGTCTGGCCTTAGTGTAGGTTTAAAAATAGAGTGGACCCCATCATTGAACTAGAATGAAAGGGCTGTTACTGTATAAAAGATTTGCAGGTGTACTTGATTTTTTATTGTTTTGTTTTTTGATGTAGAAGCTCCCCCTGTAGTGCAGACTGGCCTTGAACTCGTTTATGTAACACATGCAGTGTCACGCAGTGGTGGCTGTTCACACTTACGCTGTCTGAAATGTCCCGGTAGCAAGAACAAGGAGAGAATATGTAATGGCAGACAGAGCACCTGGGAGAAACTCACTGAGGTTGGGTTTGTGATGCAGAGCTAGAAATTTGGGAGCTGTTGGGGTCTTTCCCCTGTCATTCAGGAGTTTATGTGTCTACTGCGTCTGCTAAGTTGGGTTTTTTCCACACAGTAATTCTGCACGAGAAAAAAAACGTGAATGTGTGTCAACTTTTTTCTTGTAATCATGACATCAGTCATGAGAATACTAAGTGTCATCTTGGGAGTACAGTTCAAGGATGTTGAACAATGTCACATAGCAAGTAGGACAGACCTTATTAGAAGGAAATCTTGGAACCATAAATTGTTACTGCTGTGCTTGACAAACCTTTTGCAGGTGAATTTTCTTTCCATATTGTGCCACTTCTTGTCCCCACTAGATTGTGCGCCTTGGCTTCATGTACGTTTTTTTTTTTTTTTTTTTTTT